ATTAAATAAATTAAACATGTTTGCTTCGGGGAAAAACCAAACTGAACTCGTTAAGGAATTCGTCTATAAAACAATGAAAGTTTTATTCCACACAATGACGCTTGTATGGTTACTATAGTATGCATTCGTATACATACATATATAATATAAATAAGCGGAATAACTCTATTCACTCAAATGATAGGCGATGTGAAGGCTTAAATTTTTAATCTATATAAAATTTACCCCTTTTCCCCGCGAACATTTTATACCCATCACTGTGAGGAGACGAACAAACGCACGGCGTCTTTTTCCAATTTTCGGAATAAAGATGAAAATTTATGTGGCGCAGAGGAGCGAATATGGTAGGCGTGTTCTTTGAAAAGATTGAGTCATTTTCAAATTCTTTTACAAGTTTTGGGGCCTTATCTTCGGGAGAATATTTGCCACAGATATTACACAATTGCGCAGAGGGACCGATGAAAGGACGGACATGCTTAGGTGCCCATTCGCCCATTGCCCATTTCGCCCATTTTCTATACTGAACCTACGTGCAAGAACTTTAAGCCTCATTACGCATTTAATTTTATAAAATGTTAATTACTAAAGCACTGGTAACCCTTGTTACTGTAAATTTTTTGAAGCCTTCTTATGTTCTTAATTTAAATTTATGGTGTTACAGAAATTCGGAAAGTACTTCTAAATCCATCAGTGAATTTCATTGCGCTTATTTATCAATTTTATTAAAATTTTTTCTCGTGTACGTAATACAATGAAAAAGAAAGGAGGAAAAATACAAGTACAATGTAAAGTACAATGTATTGTCTTCTAACTAGCGCTTCCGAAGATTCAAGTAGAGAAGGGTCATCTCCTTACCCTTACTTCTAGTATTTAAAATGAAATGTAAGAGAGAGCCAAACGCGGGACATAAGGAAATCCAAAGAAGAAGCAGCTGGACTGAAATTTCAGAACATAATTTATAAGCCACCTGCCACCTAAAATGTTTAGTTGATGAACATAATGCAAACGAGTTATGAACAATAACGTTAGTGCTGTCGACCGGTTTGACCGTTATTTCTTAAATTTTATGTGTCGTTTAAACGTTAAGCTGCAATTTAATGCCTAATTACTTTATACACGATGGAAACAATTTTTCAGTACCCACCCAGTTTATCATAAAATTGTTGGAGAAATAATAGTCTTCCAATTTATTAGCTTAAAATAATTTATAACATACTATATTAGGCGTGGAAATCTGAAACCGGCATTTTCCCAAAAGTGGCTCTAGTTGCCAATGTATTGACCGTCGAACTGCATCAGTTTCTTCTTGATATCTGGAAAAACATACGTCGATATCACTTTTTCTTTGCTCGAACTAGACGAAAGAAAGACGCTTTTTCATCGTACCGTCACGAGGAATAAAAAGTGGATTTATTTTGAGAATTCTAATCGCAACTGCTCATAGGCAGGTTCATGTGTACCATCCACATCTATTGCAAGACCGAATCGCTGCCTGGTAAGACAGAAAGGATGCGGTCTGTTCAACTCTCATGGAACGTCTTCTACCGAGAATAGCAATGGATTTAAACCGTGTGCTGTTTATAAAAACTGACAAAGAATGTGTAATTTTTGACTATCATCCGGAGGCTAAACTATTCTCTTTTTCTTCTGCAAACCACAAATCAGCAACGGATCAACAGATAGATACGATATTCCTTCTCTCTTTCACCAAGGTTCGCTTTGAGATTTTGAATCAACAGAGTTTAGAATAAATTTTTTATAAAATATCAACCAATCAATCCATCAATCAATCTATAAAAATTTTGCAACTTGAGTTACCCAAGTTATGATATAAACCTTCAAATCGTAATCACTTTATTTATCTAACCTGAGCTCCGTCCGATAAAACATGTTAACTTAAATAAGCAACTTTCATAAAAACATTCAATAAATCAATTTTGAAAATTTCATTTGCATCTGAGGCGTCACTAAGCCGTTTTTAAATACAAATATTTTCCATAGCTTAATACATATGTACATTTTACTATTAAAATGAAATGAACGTTCAACGAATGCACGCTTATTTATTATAATCCATTATGGATATAATGGGTGTATAAATAAGTCCATTACTTTTTTTGATAAAATTCAACTTACTTGTTACGGAGCTTTCTAGTCCAAGTAGACATCGTTATAGCCCAGGGTCTTTTATCATTTATCGGGTAGTTTATAGATGCCTCAGTGTTGGAAACTTGTCGATTTAGGGGCGAAATAGGCTTCGACGCATTTTTGCACCTCTTCCGTTTTTGTGACCGGCGACCTGCTAAATATCACTGCATCCGTTTAGATAAGGGGCCATGGTAAGATTCCAGGTAGGAAGAATATGTGGGTTGGGATAATACTTCTCAACCCAAGTTCAAAATTATTTTCTTGGCTGCTTTTCCTGGAGACAGACGGACATGTGTGAATTTCATCATTTTCAAGATAAAATTTTTTCGCCCGAAATGCAAACCATATCCTAACGGTTTCGTAGCTCAATGCGTTTTCACTCCAAGCTAACTTAATCATTTCCATCAGTTTGACGTTTAAATGACATCCATCTAAACTTTGATATACACGGAAAGACATCTCGTAAACATCTGGAACTCACGTCATTCGAAAACCAATGTCTAAATTATATACCTAAAAATTTTCGGCAAAATTGAAGGCGTCAGGTACGTTTTATGCAACAACCAATTTTAGCGGAAGGAATTTACTTGTCCACCTAATATGTTTATGTGATGCATTTATTCATACAAGATTTGGGAAAGCAGCATATTTTTCAAAGAGATATGCAACACGAAAAAAGATGTTTATATGATGATTTAAATCTCGCTGTCTATGTACGAATTGTTATGTGTACTTAAACGATTACCTAAAAAATATACTCAGAACATTTCATGCAGAGAAAATTTGCCCGAGGAAAGAAAGTGTTGTTCAGCACACCTGGTCAATTTGTTTCCGGACACGCAATCTTTCATATAATTGTTACATGCCTGCACATTTGCCGTTATACACATGCTCCACTTGCTCCAAAAATGCTCAACTGAAGACATCAATAAGCGCCATAAAAGTTCCATTTAAAAGCAAACGATAACACCGACTAGTTACCCGTATGGAAAAACTATAGGAAATGTTCATTTTATTCCTTTGCTTTAAAAAGCTGGCATTTATTGTAAACTCATCTTTTAAAAGGTAAAACATTACACAGAAAATATCTTAAAATCCTACTCCTATAGAAGTACGATTCTTAGTGCTTTCTGTTATGACCGTTCATATGCGAAACTCATTTTATGATTATGTTTTAATTGTAGCTCTCTACTCTCTACTCGCATCTAAAAGAATTTGCTCGCATTAAGTGGAAATTGTAATTTTTAACCGAGTCATAGTGGCTGACACATTTCGATTGAAAAGCTATATGACCAACCGCTGTGGACAATAACACCTACTACAATAACGCTTTTTCATAAGTAATTTGTTAGGCAGCCTGATAGGGTGCAATAGAGAAAAAAAAACGAGAGAGGGAGACAGAGCGCAATGATGCTAATAAAAATATAAACAAGCTTGATTTTACACACTTTTCAACTACTCTTTTCGCATTCCCCACCCAAGGATGGAGATGCATTCATTTCGTTAAGAGGTTTGCAATACTCAAAAGGAAGCTTCTTAAAATATATAAAAACTGTCTTAGCATGGTTGTCTGCCAGTGCACATGTCGGTCCCTCTGCGTAATATCTGCGGTACACAAACCCGAGATTGCAAAGGTAAATCTACCGGCTTCAGATCTAACAGACACACTAAAAGATCTCGCAGGGATGAAAATGAAAGTCTTGTCAAAACGATTGTTCTGCGGACCGAATCGCAGAGGGAACTGAAAATCGACGAACTTAAGCACGCGCACAGTGCAATATGAACTAGTAACAGGTTTGTTTTTACTTACAACAATTAAAAATTTGCCTTATTCTACGAGCGATCTTGTAGTAGTTTTATAAAAAGGGGAAAAAAGCAGCCATGCCCGTCCAACAGTAGAGTATATGGAAATTTGGTTATTTTTCTTTTCACGGTGTGTTTTTTTTAGAACAAAGTGATGGATATAGAAGATTCGGCCGCAGCCGAATATAATTTTCTTAATTGTTTTCTTTCTTGCTGTTAAAGTTGATTGAGAAGCAAATCGAATACACATTGTTCGGTGAGAATCACGTAAACTGTTCACTACTTGTGCGGTTCACTTAAGAGAATTGCTTTACTGATCATTGTTGCTGGCCGGGATCATGAAATGCTGCGCTGCGACACCAAGCATAGCAAAAGCATGGTCATGCGATTACTGGTGCTTGCTTTTACATTTTCCCTGATTCCACCATCGTTCAGTTACCCGCTGTGAATGTTTTGAAAGAATTCTATGAAAACTGATTTCATATTCGCATGAGCATGCGCATGCGCATATGCTTTGTGTTTTGTGCACGTGCTTTCTGCTGCTGTTGCTGCTGCTGCTGTTGTTGTTGTTGTTGTTGTTATTGTTGATACTCTTTGAGTGTAAGGAGTTTCCAGTGAAAATATTTATGCGTTCACATATATTAGTACATTTAATTGCCACGAAATTCATAAAAAGAACTATAAAAAATAAAAATAGATGCAATTTATTAAAAAAGAAAAAAATGCATGCAATTGTTATAAACATTAAACTCCACATAAATATATCATACATTTCATATTATATGTAATTTAAATAAATAAATTTCATTTGAAAAAGAAAAAACTTCCGATATACGATTTCTATATTCATAACGTTTCTTTTTTAAATAAATAGCACAGCTCAGATAATTGTAAGATAAAATCTCCCATCTCTGATCCAAAGTTATGAAGCAATGTCTATAAATTAGCAAGAAAAAAAATCTTAAAAGCATTGCCGCTTTAGGATGAGCAATGCACAAGTTAACAATAGATCGCTGATTAAACTAAACACTATTTTTTATATTTTGCAGACCCATCAGCCGAACCCCGCTCACACAAATTTCATACCTGCAAAAAATTCCAACGCTACCCAGGCATTTCTCACCGAGCTGTACAGCTACAGCTAACGTTTCCCAAGCGGGCTCCAGTACACCACCACCGCCATTGCCACCTCTTAATAGTTTAAGACAAGGCACTGGCAGCAATAATGCCTCGCCATCGAAAGGGCCATTGCCCAGCAGTTCTTCGGCTGGCACTTTGTATTGCGGAACGAATACCGCCGGCTTGCCTACATCCCCATTACCATTGCAACGTCAATACCAACCACAGCTAACTCACCTGCCACCGGTCTCATCCCACCAGCATCCATATTTACCACCTCACTTACAACAGCCCAATAATCAGCAGCAGCAGCAACAACAACAACAACAACAACATCTTCAACATATTGTAACGACACCGTTAGCTGCAACATCTTTGCAGCATCACGCTCCATTACAGTATTCACCAGCAGCATCTGCATCATCATCGATGTCCAAGTATTCGACGTCCTCATTAAAGCCACATCATTTGCAACACCAACAGTCCCATCATCATCAACAGTCACAACAACATCAATTGTCGCCCGCAATTTCATCACCATCACCTCCCTCTCTGCTTCATCATCCATCAGCGGTACATGGTCACGGTCCCTTTTTGGTGGGACAACATTTAGACCTACAACGGCAGTCACATTCAGACGACGACAGCGGATGTGCCATTGAGGAGTATACTTGGGTGCCGCCAGGACTCAGACCAGATCAGGTAATTAATATTGATTATCATAGCGTTTCTGATCTAAACATGCAATAGAGAAAATATTATATATTCCCCTTCTGAAAATGATCCTTCGATGACAGGCAATATGCATTTCGAACAATTGCTTGTAAATAATAAAACAACGACAATCAGGTGTAGGTTACACGCAAACGGAAAGGGAATTATGAAGAATACTTATATCCCGCGATATTTAATAAGTTTTCTAATTTCTGCAAATAATTTCTTTTAATTTTGCTTTTTACATAATATCCACAACCCAGTGATGCGAACCCAATTAGGAATTAACTCTGAGATAAATGATTTATTTTAGACCAACACACTCAGAATAAACGTGTAGTGAAAACGCGCCAAATCAGTCAAATGACGCCAGATTCACTATAATTGTAGCACTCCTGCTGAATAATAGCAAACCGTACGTTGTGTTCGAGTGAGCAGGTAATCTTATACCCGTGAACTCCATAGTTTCATTTTACAATACTTTAGGATTACCGGCACTAGGCTTGCTATAGTTACGCACATACTCTTGCTCTTGGTACTTCCTGGACGCCATTCAGCGAATACTCCGTTGAAAGCAATAGCAAGAAGGCATTTGATGGTTGGTCTTGCCCAACTACAATGATTTCACTTGTTTTTCATTCCGTGTTCACTGATGCCCCTTGCATTTACAGAAGAAAAATGTAACATCATTTTCTTTTCTATCGCATGCTACAATTTTTATTTATAATTTCAAATTAAACGTTCAAAAAACCTTTTATCGACCTCGAGAATCAAATTTTCCCCACTATTATCAAAAATACAATGCATATAAATTAAAGTACTAAGAAAATACTACCGAAACACAATGCGCTTTACCCACAACTTGATCGATCTATAGAGCGAATACACCGTCTATCGCTCTTAAAATTAAATATCGTAGACCAGCCTGCTGAAAAACTGATGAGTACCCGAAGACTATATTCATACCGACTATAACTTCCTCTTTGCTTTACGTTGCAACGCTTCAAACACAAGATACTTGTTAACGTCCAGCGCAAAGCCCAGCAGCCAGGAAGTGCGTATATCAAATCGCCATATCCATATTCAATTCCCATGACGGTAAATTGTACTTTAACTACGATTGCCACATGATTTCGGGTACAGTAAACGCTTGATCGCGCACACATCTCTTAGGCTACTCCTCCCGTCTTTTTTCCTAACTAACAGGGAATATCACCTCAATGACAACAACAAGAGGAAAGAAGAAGATTTGAAAATGAAATTCCACATTTAAGAATCAAATCGAATCACTGCCATCCCCACGCATTAAGATGACTGGCTCAATTGCTTAAAGCATTTTTATGAAATACTTATTTTTACACATGTATTAAAGCGTTTAAGCCTAATTACAATAACACTTTGCAATGGAAATAGAAAATCTGGCGATTAAAGATCAAACCGGTTATTGTAGTGAAATATTTAAACAAATAAAATGGAAATAATTAAAGTCAACTCATGGAAATGGAAAAGTATGAATGTATGTATGCTATCTTATAACAGATTTATCACGAAAGTAATAAAAAGAAAATTGGAGCAAAATCGTACGAAAACAAGCTTTACTCAATCAAAACATAATCAATTAAATTATAAAGCAATTATTTCGCTTAACATACATTTGTGTTTGCTGTTAGTTTTTATTGCACATCAAACCAACTGTTATGCGTAAACGTATGCCAATGAAACGGGAAAATAGTAGTTTTCTTAAATTGGTTTTTGGGTTAATTAAAACGATTTCCATTAACGTTTTCAACCAAAGCCATTACACATTTTCCAATTTACAGATACATACTTGAAGTCAGACCATCTGCGTTCCAAACTGTTTCATATTCATTTTGATTTTGCTTTAATGAAACTGTAACTATGCGTATTAGTTCGCGTAAACCTTTTTTTTTTTTAAGCTGCTTAAACATCACATGTCCCAGCCAAATGTGTTATAATTTATTAGTGCGCCTCGTATCCATTTATGCAAATAAATCTTCTTGCTCTCGCAATACATTATTCGTTTTCCTTTTTGTTATGCTCAAATCGATAAAGTATTTTCATTCGTTGCACGCCATTCAACGCAATTTTGGATCTTAGATACTTTTCTCTCGCATTAACCCATTCGAGACAAAGTTTTTGCCTTGAAGATCATCGCCAGGTTGGGAGTTTTTTTTGTTCGTTTTGTATTAATAGTTATTGTTTGAAAAAACAAGTAAAAAGGTTATAGTGGGCTACAATCAACCTGCACCTCCCTATCAATATTCCCATAATGACCTTTCAAAATGATGTTATATAAGACCCATTGTCAACAGCATTCATCTTTGAGTCAGAACACGTCAGAGTACCACATTTCATCAAAATATCTCGAAAATTGCCACACCTCTTGCCACTAAAAATAAGGTGGACCGATAAACGTAAATCGATTCAAAAAGTGATTCTAAATAGATGCACATAAAAAGCAGAACGGAGTCTCAAGTCATTCTGGGTGTTGCATGCATCTACACAAACTCAATATATTATTGCGCGACAGGCAGTATAATGCATAGAAAGTATGTTTGCAATAAAAATTAATCACTTCGTTGCCCAATTCATACAAACAAGATAACGTTGAACGCAAATCCTTCCGCAATGCGAAATAAAATAAAAATACATCATTAAAATCGAATGGCATTCGTCTCAAAAAAACTCAAGTAAGAAAAAATCGTCATTTAGGTTCAGTACTAAAAGAAAAAGGACATAATCTACAAATAAATTCGCAGGGAACAGTGTAAAGGAGAGGAAGGAGTTTGAAATTTTGATGAAAAGACAAGCCTTCGTTTTCTTTTCCATAACGATAGCGCTTGAAAAATTCTCCCAAACATAATCCAGGCTTACCGACATAACTACGGCAAGATTAGTTAGTATGTCCCTATTTCCCGCCTTTGTGGCACTACTCGCAAATTGGTTTTTTCTATTGCCACTTCTGTGGACTACTTTAGGTAGATGATCGCTTGATAGCAGAGAGTTTAGTGGATCGTTTGACGTATTTTCATTTAATATAATTTATTTTAAACTATAGACGATATTCGTGAAAGTTAACTTTTTTGTTGAATATGTTTTATACGAGATTTCTATTAAATTAGTCCATAAAATAATATCACTATCTAGAGTTAGAAAACTGTGATACTTTTTACTATATTTTGCTATTTTGCCTCGCATGGAAGGTGTGCAATTCGTCTCTTATGAGTTAAGAAAACGAAAAAAAAATCAGATATATAATAAGCCATGACCCTGAAAATCAACAACACTCAATCATGGTGATTACTTTAGCAGCCCTTCAGTCGATTTGTACTTATACCTATATTGTAACTTTTCTTGCACATGTAATTATGCACATTTGGCAATGGCTTTATAATTATGAATAATAAAAGAATTAAAAAAAAAAGAAACCAACCTTCATAGGTATTTAACTTTCATTTACTTTGGTCAAAAGTGTTTTAATGAAGCTTTATTAATGATCTTTATTACGCGAAATTTGCATTAGTGTACGCCTTGACTTCTGAAATAAATGATTTATTCATAATTCAGTGGCCGAAGCAGTGTCGTTTAGTGTTGTTAACACTAATTATTAGAGAAATTTGTTTTGATTATACAGAGTTAAGGGTCAGTCAAGTGCTTTGATATTAAAATTTTAAAAAAGTTGAGAAAGCGAATTTGATCGATTTGGCAAATGAAGTATTTAATTAGTGACATTCCATCGTAAGCTTTGTTCGAGTTGAAGTTGAAGAATGGGGTGACACCTGAGAGGCTCTATTTATAAACCGTTTGTAGCAGTTTAGAAGAAGATACCGGAATATTATAGTAAATGCAAAATTAAAAAAATTAAAAGATTGATTCTAGGAAGTTTTCCTTCTGCAACCACATCATTACATGCCATCGATGATAGGAATTGGTAAAGTTGTTTCTTTTATTGAATCAGCGTTGTCTGCTGTTTATTCGTCTGGGCATTTGTATGGGGCTTAAGAACGACTACAGATTCTACGAATAGGAATCGGATTCGTACTTAATTTGACACTGACGTAACGTAACGGGCCCATAACATGTTGCAGCATATGGACAAGCCATACATGGACGAAAGCTCACACAGAAAATAACAGCATCTCTTAGAAAAGTCGCTAACGGCGTATTTATAAATATGGTATGATATGAACAATAACATTTGTGCCACGAATGAAGAGATACTTTGAACGTGAAGTGCAGACCCCTACGCTTAAACGCACAACAATTCTTAACTTTGCTACAGAAGTAAAAACACTATAGCGGACCGCGATTGAGCATTACTCGTCGTACGCAATCCTCAAGTTATTCATAGATAGGGCATTACATGAAAAGTTGTCCGAACTAAATCATTTCGAACAGCGTTTGCCCTTGAGCCAAAAGCACGTCAGCGTGCCAAATTTCATTGAAGTATGTGAAAAATTTTTGGCTGTAGATCGAATACAAGGGAAAGAGATAGGGACAAACGGACGTAATCGATATAGCAAAAAAGACGGATAGCAGATAAAACGAAAAGTGTGGACATAATAAAATCTTTGTGCATTTCAAGTTCTCTGAGTGTTGCATACATCCGCACAAATTTAATATACCCTACGACAACTAACGATGTAGGGTGCAACTTTGAAAATTCTGAAAGAATAATTCCGCTAATATATAATCGCCGAGGTAATTATTAAATGCTTTTAAAAAATATTAAATATCTTCGAACAGCGTAAACTTTGTATTTAAAATTCTACAAAGCTCTTATCGGTTACAACGTAACACTTTTAATACATCCTGCTTATCTTCGCTTAGAGAGATGAACTTCCTTCGAAGACCTGTACGATTAATATACAAAATCATTTTTATTTTACTTTCCGGAAACTCATATTAAGTGACAATTTTTCTCTTTATTTACCAAACTACATTATGCTCCTGAATGTGCTGCAAAAAGTACGCACACCCACATGCACAGAAACATAAAAGGCCCACAACATGAAAGAATTTTTCATTGCTATGTAAGGATTGAAAAATTTATATGAACTATGTATGTATAAGTGTATGCCTGTTAATTGAATAGCATTGAGTGAAATAATTAAAAAGACCAAAAGTTATAAATAGACATCAATGATATGCAAACATACAGTTTACGGAACCCAACTGGGTAGCGAAAAAGAGATTTCCAATTATTTCAATTTTTTTTCCATTATTGCATCTTTGAAACTTAGTACGAGACTTTTTCGCTTCATTCGATTTCAATTAATTTTCAAATTAAATTATGTTTATTTAACTGCTTTACAGTCTTATGCAAGACAGCAATAATCCTCTTAATGTCAATAAAAGAAATCGATCCCTACGCACATATTTTTTGTTTTGGCAACGAAATGAAAAAGTACGTAAACAGTGTACTGATGTTCATAGTGTAATGAATAATGTACTTATTCAGGTTAGGCCAAATCATAAAATATTTAAGGCATACATACTTACAATTATGTAAATATGTTTATATATAAATATGTGCGCATGTATATATATATATATATATATATGTACAACCTTATAAATGTATATTTTCAAATATATTCATGGTTACGCAAAATCTTCAACTATGCAAAGCATACATACAATTATATGGGTGTGTGTAATATATATATATATATATATATCTATATATATATACATATATATATTCTCCTTCTTTTTCAATCACTAATGCTGTCAACATTTGTAAAAGATATCAACAGCACAGCAGGGCATTTTTGTCTTCTTCCAATTTTTACCCTTTCCGAACTAAAGGAGCACTGTATACATGTATCATATGATGAATTATTTGCATTTAATTTTTATGAATAGTTGATAGCCTTAATTGTCAGGAGATTAAAGTGCATCCAATGAAATGAATTTATGTCTAAAACCAATAAATTGCTATAAATTAAAATGCAGGATGAAGTTTGAAAAAAAATTTTTTAAAAATATATCGCCTGACTACCTAAGAACTTTTGTCCAGAGACGTATCGCTGAGTTGTATTATTCTCTTTTTAAAGATAAAGCTTTTTTCCAATTATAAAGGAAAAAATTCTTGTAAATCTTACAAAGAGGCTTGAAAGTTAGCCTCTTGTCCGTTTCTGCAATATATTCATCCAAGTAAAATAAAAATGTTCAAATTTTTATATACATGACAATGGTAACAGCGACAATCAAAAACTTCTTTCCAAAGCAGTTGCTTAGTCTTATGTTTTTCTTCGTTAATCAATGGTTTTCCAACAAGAAGTTTTAAATCTGGTGCTATTTTTAAAGAGTGTCGAAGATACACTTTTGATTAGCAAAGGCATTTACCAACACTAATGAGGCCGAATCGGAAGATTCCATCGATATTCGCCTACATAACGCGATTTTATTATGAAAATACCTTTCAAACAATCACTAGAGTCGGCTTACGTACTAAGTTTCAAAAATTTGGTAAAAATAGTTCCGAAATGCAGAAATTGAATTTGTTTAGCCTTTCCGAGAGGTATTTTCATACAGACTCATGAGGCGTCCATAGAAGTATCTTACGTTTCTCAATTTGGACGGGGTATGCATTCATATCCAACCAGGTTTTGACCTGAACTATTTAACAGAGCTCTGTGAGATAGCCATTATCGGATTCGATCACTCATAGCAATATATTTGTTCACTATAAATAATTCGACCTTCATTTCGACCAAGAAAGGAAAACGAAACACACCGTTTCATTTTTAAACCGCCAGTGCAATTACATTTAACAAATAAAAAGTAGAAATTTTTCGATGCGGATTGAACAGTTCCACAATGTATTGTAGGAGTAAAAATTTACTACAAAATGAAGAAAAAAAATATTTCTTAAAGAGAGGGTAGGTATGAAGGTAGGTAAACAACCAAACTGCCCTGAAAGTCAGAAATTGTAATTTATACTGTTGTCGAAAGCGCCTTTTCACTTAACACCCTGCCTATACTCATGCTATTATACAATGAGTTATTATTTCTTATGTTCTTTATCTATGTATAATAATGACACCGTGTGATATTGATAGGGAAATAAGAGTGGAAATAAAATAAAGAATGAAGTTATAAGATATACATTTTTACTCCGAAGTCAGCACACAACAGCACTTATAACACTTTCTCATAAAAAACACTGAAACCTTATTCAAAGTAGCAGACACAAATTTCCCATTTATTCTTGTTGATCATACAATGTTTGGTGCTGTAATCACCTTTATCTACTACCGCTTAATCCTTCACGTTGCATATGCCTACTTTGGTAGAGAATATCAAACCTACTTAATAGCCTCTGGAAGTTTATCGTCATACCTTAAAGAATTTTTGCCCACATTTTATTTGAATGAGATCCCATAAATTTTCCAAAACAGGACAACCAGGACATTATGCTGATCGCTTTAGAACAATCGTAGCAAAAAAATCAAATTTATTCTCTCTGAAAGGATATTCGAAAGCAATCTTCTAAATGTTCTAAATAAACTTAATATGAGAACGCATGCTATACCCAGTGAAGCCTTCCGGACCCTAGTTGACATGATCAGCTTAATTTCTTCAACCTAATCTTTCAGTTTTTGTATTATCGCTCGATAAGACATTCGTTTTTAAGAAGGCTGCGTGAAAAGATGCGCGAATTCCTCGTTCATTTTGGTAGGCAGCAATTTTGCAGAGCTTCAAGCGGCCTCTCGCTTTTGCGAACAATGTCTTCCATATTGTACGAAAAGTGTATGCTTTAATGTTACATAACAATTAGGTCGCGTTTCGATTTAGTTCAGAGAAATTTTCAATTAAATTTTACAAAAATTTTATATTAACCTATGCCACGCTTCACTTAGCTTCACACACACCAACTTTATATTGTAAAATGTAAGATGCTTTCAGTGAAATTCGATATTAACTTTTTTGCATAAACATCTTTTTTATATAAAAACTAAGTTTGTATTAGCAGGAGCAAGTTAAGCATTTCTTGAGTAAATTTTCCCCTTTTTCCGTTTGTTCTCGATTACAGGTGCGATTATATTTCTCACAAATACCTGATGACAAAGTGCCATACGTTAATAGCCCCGGCGAACAGTATCGCGTACGACAGTTACTACATCAACTTCCGCCACATGATAACGAGGTAAGTATTGAATCAACTAAAAAAAAAATAAAAAAAAACAAAAAGAAAGAAGAAAGAAGAAAAAATGGAACAAACCCAGAACGAGGAAAAGAATTCTTAATATAATCGCTAATGCTTATATAATATGTATATATAAGTACGTAAGAAATGCATTTAAATATTTTTCATATGTTTATAAGTTGTGTTTAGAGATGCTTGTTAGACATCAGTACAAACATATGTTATACAAACATCGTATTATTGTTATTATTCTAATAATTGTAGATTTTCCTTCTATCGTTTATTGGATAAATTGTGAACTATTTCCCATAAGCATAACTAAAGGATGTAAAGTAAAAACTCCAGCAGACTATATAGAGCAGTCAGTGCATAGGGTATGAAAAATGTAAAAAAAAAAATTCTCATTACACACATAACTATATTGTCTGAAATGAATAAAAATGTTGTTAACAAACCAAATCCAGAACAAACGAACACAACAACAGCAAGACAAACGTATCTCTAGGACGTACGTCGTATACCCTTAACATCAACGATGACTAGCATTTTCTTATTTATTCGCTTATAAGCAAAGACTAACGCATATTTTGCTTAGGGACTATTATGCAATGCTTTCCGATTTGAAAACTTCAATATGAGATACAAAAATTTATGCTTTAAAAATATAAATTGTCTAAACATAAACTAAGGATTTATACTGTAAACGGCAGAACCAACGAACGAACCAAAAACCCCATAACTATCAAGTGCAAAATGTCCCAAAGTTATTTTCGAGTGCCTCTACGTACGATACTGGCAAACAACAAATCACAGATTTTAACTTAAAAATTCGTAAACTCTTTTTATTTTTTGTGCTGCATAAACTGTTCTCTTTATAAACCTACGATATACGAGGATACACGTAAAGATGCCATATTAAAGCTTTGCCAAACAACACAATTATATCAGTGTTCAGACATAGCAACTAACTATGTACTAATGTGTGTTGTGTAAAGAGTACATTTGCAAGTTATGGTAAATTTGCATAGAATTCAAATGGTTTTGTGAGAATTGAACGGACCTGGGGACAAAGTTAGACCATGTAGTGCATGGCTACCGTTTATTTGATTGTTTTCAAAACTATGTAATTGCAGCAGATACTTACATGAATGCACTGCGAGAAAAGTGTTGCTATAAGAAAAATAAATTAACACTCACTGTTAGATTGTGTAGAATATCTACAGATTGAAGACAATTTTGTTCGATATATTTCGCAATAATGTATCTTATACACCATATCGTATTATTGTCTATATTGTACATCCTTTAGTGTATGTAAATGATACCACATATCGCATATGCCATATTCTGTAGAATACACGTCATCTACCCTATAGTACATCTGTCGGGTGAATAACCTATCGTATATGTTGACAACATGCCACAGGGGCTTGCAAACACTACAAATTGTAGTCCACTTAACGCTGGACAAGTTTTCGCATCAGCTGATATTTACCATACTATTATAATACTTATCGCGTTAAATTGATTAAAAACAGTTATTAGATTGCAATGTATATACCGACCGTGGATTCTTTTCCTTAACGTTTCATATATACTACAGCGTATAAAGCATACCATCCATCTCACATACAGAGCATATGAAATATCGTATATCGTATATACGACAAATCGTGCCATATGCATCACACATTGTAGATATTGTGTATGTGGTCGTATACATTGCGTATCGTATCGCTATAAAATCATACGATAATTTGCTGAAACTCTGTGGTCTCGTTCTTCAGCAAAATAGTGATGTGACAAACACTTACCTTAATAAAAATAATCCGAAACAAAGATGTAACCGATCGCAACATTTATGAGGTACGCGAACTTTCTGAAAGTCTTCCTACTCTTTACAATGCAAACATAAGATATATTATATACATGAGTCAATCTTAAAACTACTATTAACCTCACAACTGCTTAAGATCATATTACATTTGCAAGCAAGTATTTTATGTACTTTAATCTTAAATATAACAAACATCAAAACTGATTTCGTGCCACATCAACTTGTTTCTCTATTTAAAAATTCTATATCATTTTTCGGGCCCAATGGATTCGTTGTACTCATTTCTTCAAACGCTTCTTACATTCACACATACATCGAAACTTTCAAAAATGGATATATACACATTCCTGATCAGTGGAACTCTTTTAATCTGCCTGTTTTTCTGATTTTTGTTCGGAACATTAGATCTTTGTCGATAAGAACACATTTCATTCAAAATTGTTTGAATTATTTTCGTTAATTTTTTTCCCCGATTTTATAAATCTCCTAAACAGAAAAAACGGTTCAATCTTTGGATTACCGAAAAACTTAAGCAAGACAGAGGAAAATACATAATTGTAGTCCCTACCTCAGTAATGGGATAATGCCATATAGCATAAAAATATTACTTGAAACATATACGATATATAACTGAGCCCACCATCTCTTTGTTTTCACTTGCATAATAGCCTCTAAGAGAGAAGCAGAAAAAACGCACTTTTTAAATAAGAGCATAAACCTACATCTGAACCCTCTCTTCAAATTACCAGGTAGCGCTTTGAAGAAAAAATTCCAAATTAACATTATCGTAGGCGTGTGTGTACAGCCACATCTCGCAATCAAACACAGACCATTTCGTTCTAAATATTAAAAAATTCAACATAAAAATATCTTCCTCCTTTTCTTCTGAAAATTCAGCGAATGAATGACAGATGATACGGGGCGCCACATGGCCAAGGTTCAGTATGAACACGAAGCGCTCTTTCTGAAGTCTACTGAAGTTAAAAATTAGTTTTGCTTCCAGCTTTTTTGGTTTTTCTTTATCATGATCAATTTTATTTTGATCCAGGTTCTGTTATACCTCGCCTCTTATAAGACGTTCTCCCACGTTTTTATACACTACACCATCTGTGGTACAAGTTGGTGCGGGTGCATACAACACCCAAAAGAGTTTAAGATAGATACTCCTTCCATTATATTACCAGAGTTGCTTTTAAATCAATCTAAGCCTGTCTGTCCGTCTTATTTTGTTGTGTTCAACCTAGTGGACATAATTTTTGAGATATTCTTATAAAACTTCGTACACCAACATGTTTTAGTGCACTTCGCCATTCAACATGGTGCGGATCAGGCCTTCCTATACAACGCGTTATTTTGAAACATCGACAGGAAAATCACTGTAGGGTAGGGTTGTGTATAGTATTTAACGGCAGACCGTGTCACGCTATATTGTTAGTACTTTTCTTTTTTCTCGCAATTTTTATCATGTTTGAAAAGAGTAATAAGTTTGAGAATTCGTGAGCGTAAGGTCTCATTCAGTTCGTTTGTTTCCTCAAGAAAATCTAGCCAAATAAATTTAGTCATAATTTCAAGTCAATGAATTTTTGTCGCATTATATTTTCCAAAAGTGTTTGTGCCACGATATCATTGAGTGATTTGTAGACTTAATTACGCTTTCAGTTCCCTAAAATAGTTCTGAAAAGAACTATTCCCAGTATTCGAAGTCATTTTTTCTTTCTGGCCGTTAGGGAGAAATCAACTTTACGAAAATATTGAAAGAGTAGTTTCTTTTCTTCAGAAGGTATCGTTAAATTATTAAGTATTTGGTTTGAACAGATTGCCGCTGTTCAGATTCACTATATACTTGTCAATCAGTTTTATGCTGTCTCACAAAGTTATTCTTCACATTACACCCGTAAAAGTGAAACGAAGAAAGCGTTTCCAAGGCTAAGGAAATTTCAAAACTTTATCTTAGTGTAGTGAAAATAATAACAAACACATGTATACGGTTATGTTTAACGTCATCAAAAGGCAAACTAACGCCTTACTAAACAATATTTGCATATCTACTTACTTGCTGATGCTGATGTGTGTTAGTACTCACATCCTCGCACATAAAAACAGCCGCAGAGCTGTTGTCCGCAATATCATGCTTGATGCGCATGTGTGTGCATGTATGTTCACTTTAATGTAGTTGTGGTTGGCTTTATGCTTATTGATGATGGCTTTACAACCGTTCCGCTTTCATTCTATTCTATTAGTAGTCTGTTGTAGTTTTTTAAGTTTTATTTGCTTCTCTGACTATACTTCTCTTGCATACCATACATACACTTACATATAATAGAGTATCCACGGATGTCAGATATATGAGTCGCTCTTTTAAATGCACATTCATATGAACGCTTAGAAAATTTGAAAGCTGGCCATACCTTCCTTAAGTGTAGCTTTTCAGTAAAGTATTTCTTTAAAGTGGGCATATTATTTAACAGTTGATCGCTTTACAACGTTGAATGTTTTGTGCCGTTGTTTTTGCTGTCATTTCAGGTTCGTTACTGTCACTCATTGACGGATGAGGAACGTAAGGAACTTCGTTTATTTTCAACACAACGTAAACGTGATGCTCTTGGACGTGGTAATGTAAGACAGTTGATGAGTGCACGTCCATGTGATGGTGTAAGTATTATTATATATGTACGTATGTATATATATATATATGCATGCGGTGTGTGTGTGTGTGTGTGTGTGTGTGTGTGTGTGTTCCACCTTCTTCTTTTAAACATTAAAATAACTTTTGAAAGAAACTTTTTGCTACTGATGTGCGCAAAATGATTCATGTCATTCGAAGGCAATGTTATAAAGATCGACTAGAAATGATTTAGAGCTGAGTGCTTCATAGAGGTCACTATAAATATACGTTTAGGCGTTAAAAATTTCTGGTTTAAGTTTATTTTAAAAATTTATTTAGATAATTCCTTTTATAACTTGTCACACTGTAAGTATGTAGATGAAAAAGCTGTCAAATAGTCTTGAACACCTTGATTATGTAATTTATGCCCCATACCATGTCCGTGCCTGGGTTCGTTTCTTCGAAAAATAGCTATAGCTTGTAAAACTTGCTTTGAAATATAAAGTTTTATTTTGAATTTTTCATCCTTGTCTGCTCGCATCTTTTAACAGTCAAAAAACAACTAAAATCAATCTCTAGGATTACCCGGAACGAAGAGAAATTTAAGAATAATAAATTTTCTTCTTTACACACCAGAATTATTTCGGGAATTTTCACTTCAATGGAACCGAAGTTAAGCGGGTTTATATATCAAAATTATTTTTTTTTACACAATTCTCTTCGCTTTGACACGATTAATTGTTGTTGTTCACTTTTACGTCATTACACCAAAATGTAATTAAAAAGCCAAAATTCTAAAACTTTATTACTCCGGCGCTTGCTCCTGGATTAGGGCACGCGCCATTCAGTGAATTGGCATAAGAGAGTTAGTTTTTTCTACACGTTTTTACTCACTTTTGCACTATGAAACAAATATCTAATTTAGAAAAAGGAATATTCTAGCGATTTTCCGCAACGGCGCTTCTGCTGAAATAAAGCAACGCGCAACTAAGTGAATTGGTATAAAAAATTTAGCTTTTTTACCCATTTTTTATTCGCTTTTATGCGATCAATTCAGCAAAACAGCTAACCTCAAAAAAAATATCCTAAAGATTTCCCACAATGGCGCCTTCTTATAAATTGAGTAACTCTCGCTTTTACACGATCAAATCAAAATCTAATCCAAAAAAATAAGAAAATATTTATGCAAAGGCGCTCTTTTCTTGTCCTCCTCCTTAATAGCGGCACTTCTCCTTGCGAGCAGCGGTTAATTTTAGACCTAAGTATACATAATGCTTACGCTAGCATAGCACAATACTTCTCTAATCCATTATACATTCTCTCTTTGTCTATATCAAAAAAAAAAAAATTTCCTTTCGTGCCACCAATAATACTTTCCGTGCGTCTATATGTAAATACCAAAAATTCTACTTCACTTCACTACTACACTTAAAATTCAGAGCTTTATGATATGCAAACAAAAAAAAAAAAAAAGAACACTTTGCCAACTTAATTTAACGCCTTCAAGATTTAATTTTATTAAAATACTTTCAAAAATATTTTTTTCATCTAATCGTTCTTTTCCAATAAATTATCCAAACACAAACACAGAACACTACCAACAACTGGTATCGTGAACAACTGTAACCGAATTAGTTATTTCTAATTACATGGCTTGATCCGTAAGTGCATGTGTTTGCCACGTACATACGTACATGTGTATTGATATGTCTGCAAAATCGCTTAAGTCGACAGTCAGTGTCTAGTGTAAGTGTTCAGTAACATGTGTTTCCAAGAACATGACCTCCCACAAAAGATGTAGACAAGTAGACAAATGTAAGACAAAGGCATACGATTGTTTGCTTACTTACGTCTTGTACAAGAAATACACAATAAAGAAACCTATTAATATCGAGAACCAATAGTCAGTCAGTCGTATCGATAAATTCGGCATTTGTTAAGCTAAACACCTGAAGACAAGAAAACACGCAAACGACCGAACAAAACAATCAACCAAACTTTGATAATTGAAAGTAATGAAAAGAAGGATAGAAAGTTTTCTTTGTCTGATGTGGTCACAAGACAATGACACGCGCACGCACGTATATACATACACACACGCATTCCCATGTGTACACATTTTTGCATGCCAAAGAATATCAAACAATGATTACTGACTTATCCAATTTGCAGTGCGATGAATTAATCTCTACCGGTGACATTGCGGTGTTTGCTTCACGTTTAGGTCCAAATGCTTCATGGCATCCCGCATGCTTTTCATGCTGCGTATGCCGTGAATTACTTGTAGATCTAATATACTTCCATCGAGATGGACGATTATATTGTGGACGGCATCATGCTGAAACGTTGAAACCTCGTTGCTCAGCTTGCGATGAAGTAAGTATATATTAGCTATCGAAGGTATCCCAGAACATTTCAAAATTTTTAATCAAATATTTTTCTTTTGCACGTACTTTTTATCTTTCTTTTGCACATTATTTTGCTGTAAAACTTTCCAAGACCTTTCCAATCATTTTCTTGTCACAAAGCCAAAATGTTATAAAAGTTTCTCATTTCAATGCAACTACACATGCTTACCGTATCTTAAGAAAGTTTGTTTAGATCACAACTATTCATTGTACTCGATTATGACCGATAACACCTTAAGCAACAAACTTTATCGTAAAAACTTTTACTAAAGTATAAAACTTTACTGCTTGTTGTGTTCGCCTTTTAGATTATCCTTGCCGATGAGTGCACTGAAGCTGAGGGACGTGCTTGGCATATGAACCATTTTGCTTGCCACGAGTGCGAAAAGCAGCTGGGTGGCCAAAGGTATATTATGCGTGAGGGTAAACCGTATTGTTTACTTTGCTTTGATGCCATGTTCGCTGAATACTGTGACTATTGCGGCGAAGCGATTGGTGTCGATCAAGGGCAAATGAGTCATGACGGCCAACACTGGCATGCCACTGATGAGTGTTTCTCATGCAACACCTGCCGTTGTTCGTTGCTGGGACGTGCTTTTTTACCACGACGTGGTGCCATATATTGTTCGATAGCTTGCAGTAAAGGTGAACCACCTACACCATCCGACAGTTCGGGTACGGGAATGTATACGACACCCACACCACCCACACAACGCGTACGACCTCAAACTCGTATACCAAGCAGTCATGCCTCTAGCTCACCTCCGATGTCTCCACTGCAGCAGCAGCAACACCAGCAAAACTTTAGCAATGCCATGTACCAACTGCAAAGTCAACAAATAGCGGCAGGTATTGGGACGAGTCCGGCGTTAACTACTGGCGGCAGTTTGGTAGTAAGTCATTCAGGATCGAGTAGTGATGCAGTGAAACAAAGTTATCCTACTTCCGATTCGGATGCCGGTGTCGTCAAAGACTTGGAACCGACGGCGGGCGATTTTACAGATTTTTCCGGTGGAGCCGCTTCTTCATGCTCGCCCCTTATCTCGCCAGGAGAATTTAATCATATAATGCCAAAACCTATGGAACTAAAACGTGAAGGTGTTTATAATTTCAATGAAATGTCGTTAAATCTAGACACCACGACTTGGCCACAAAAACTACCTCCGTCAGGTGATGGTCACAATTACAATTTACAAGAACGCAGCTTACAGCAATGCAGTGAATTGGAAAATGCCAAAACTACTAGTATGCCAGAGTTAACGGATCATCAGAACCGCATTAAACACCAAGATCAAGATTATATGCAAACGCAGCTACAGCCGACGTCACATCTACAACAGCAACCGAATTTCACATCACCGCCTCCATCCGAAATAGCAGAACTGCCAACGCCTAATTTGTCAGTAGCTTCAACGGCGCTGCCCCCCGAACTGATGGGTTCACCTACAGCTTCAGCCGGCGACCGATCGATAACATCACCGCCGTCCTCACAATCAGCTGGAAATCAACCAGTGCTTCCTGTGTCTATACTAAGCGGAGCGTCATCGTCGTCGCCTATGAGTGGAGTAAACAGTGGTAGCGGTAATGGGGGCAATGAAAGCAAAAAGAAAGGCGTTCGCTTTGAAGGTATACCAGCCGAAACATTGCCACGCTCCCGCAGTTATTCGGGCAACGCGGCAGGTACAAATCGCCCTAGTGAACCATCGGATACACGTAGTCATAGCAGTGGAGGTCATTCGTCGAGACGGCGTCGACGACGTAAATCATCGAATCATCATCGATCTGGTAGTGGGCATCGTTCGAACTCCACTACTCGAGCCGACACGTATGCCCCTACTCAGCCTTTATCTTCGTCATATCAAGGACCTCCATCTGCGTTACAAACTTCTGCGTTAGATCCTACGCGAACTCATGGTAATAGTCAAACTGCCTCAGCACACGATGACGATTCCGATGATGCTTCAAGCGTATGTTCAACATGCTCGTCAAGCTCATCCAGCTCTGAGGATTATATGATGTATCAGCTTCCGCAACGACGTCATTACGGTGGTGTGCGTGTTAGTTATGTACCCAATGATGCGTTAGCGTACGATCGTAAACGCAAACCAGCCGACCCCAATGATAAAGATAAAAACTGTATCATATCTTGATTGAGTTCCTATCGTTCCTCTCTCCCACCTTTGCATTAATTTTGCATATAATTGATGGCAGTTTTGCAAGCACAACGTAATAATTATCATCTTAATTATGATTGCATAGCAAAGATCTCTCTTGTAGCACTTAATGGCGAACCCATAAATTTGTTATACAATATTTTTTGCCAAAATTGCCGTTGGGCGTAAAAAGTTGTTTGGCTATCTGATCAGATTTACATGTAAAATCAAGGGTTGCGGCAAAATGACTACAAGCAAATTTATATTTTTATACCCTACATCACTTATAGAAGGCAAATTTCGTGTAATTTCAAAAAAAGGAAAACAAAAAAACAAAAAAAGGTTGTTAACGATCCGACCTTTATTATAGCAATTAATTTTATAAAAGCAAAAAAAAAAAAAAACAAAATAAAAAAAAAATGTTTTATAATGACTTTAACATGTCCCGTTCAATCGTACGAAAGTTTCTGAAAACACAAAAAATCTAGTTTATCATAAATAGAAACAATTTTTACACTATTCGCTATAGAGAGTAACAAGCCTGACTATTGAGGCTTTCTTTGCATTGATTTTCACAAAATACCAAATTATTTGTTAAGTAAAATTAGAAATTTAAATAATTTAAATATATGTATATCTTTTTTTATAAGTTTCCTTTAAAGATGGTTTCGTCCCATTATTACATTGAATACGAAAGAAAGAAAGTCTTGATATTTGATTTTTATTACAATACAAAGAGAAAGTACAATGAATTAATTATTTCGCATACAAACAGTATCACTGCAGAATTGCATAACGTTCTTCTTTAAACTGCATGTGAGAATGTATTTATGTCAGTATTTTTTTAAATATTTACAAGAAAAAGATAGAAGACTAAGAATTCATTACATAACATTAGCATAAAATGGAAGACGAATTGAAAATGCCTGCAAACGAAACTCACTCGTCTCCCCAAAAGTATACTCAACGTAATGTAAAGGAAAGCAATAGATTATAATAATAATAATAGTAATAATAATATATTTAAGATGCGCGTGGTCATGTGTTGATAATCTATGAATAATATATATATGAATAATGATTCATATTTCGTCTGACTTTATATATATACTAAAGATAACTTCTTTTTGTAGAAAATAACTATTTAAAGTACATTTAGTTTTATGGGGAAAAAAAACAAAGTACGCACTAAAATAAAGATTATCGCAAAGAGCTCTAAGAATTATTGGTAACTACGTCTGTTATTCTAGAAGTAAGAAAAGAAGCATAAAACCAATTAAATAAAGAAAACCTGGATTTTATTATAGAAAAATGTTTTTTTTAAATTTATTGACAATCACGACTTTAATGTTATACGAGTAAAGAGTAAAGGGGTTTATAATCATTCTTTCATTCCATTTATTCATATATTACGCAGTTATAAAGCCTTAGATACGTTTCATGTGCGAATAGAAATTATGACATGAGTGAGTATACAAGCCAACTAGATGGCTACTAATGTAATCATCTTGCTCCACGAACTCCGTCATCATCAATTCCTGCCATCAACAAATTATCCATGAGTGCGGTCAGTTTTCTTCTAAATGTTCTCAATAAATCATCGAAATATTTCAGATATAGTGGTAGGACATTCCAATACCTGGCAACACGGCCAGTAAAAAATCGTTCGCCTGATGAGTTAGAAGAACGCGGTATTAATATGAAAGGCTTTCTATTCCATCTGAAGAACTGGAGTCGTTCAATTAAAAGAAGGCTTGGAGATTGAATTTGAGTGAATTTGTATAGTTAGATAACCAACCTGAATTTTGAATAGATAATCAGGTAGCGCAAGTACCACTAGTATATATATATCTTTTACTAAATGTACTATAAGTTGCGAACTAAATTATTTAGACTTGATCAAATTGAGCAATTTCCACTGCTAACACTTAACTCAACAAGTCTCCAGTCTGACACATATCCACATACCCACAACCCATATGATTTCGGAATAGTACTAAGATTCAAACTATTCAAAATTTCATGATACTCTGGCAAATAGTTTAACAGCTATAGGTGTTTTATTGACGCTACTCACTATCCGCATTATTTCAAAAGATTTTTAGGTCGATTGTCGAAAATATAAGTTTGTGGGTGGTTTCCTAAACCCTTAAGGACACCGATGACGAACGAACTCGGCAGTTCTTCCAGAAAATTTAAAAACGTACACAAATTCGTTTTAAAAGACCGACAAGTGAACTTGCGTGAGATAACTGCCCTTCTGGTGACCCAGAACGCTGTTTAACGCTAATTAGGCGAAGTAAAAAGGATTTCTTCACGCGGTATATGATAATGGATGAAACGTGGGCTCATCACTATACTCCAGAGTAAAATCTGCAGTCAGCCGAGAAGACAGCAATTGGAAAAAACCGTCTAATGTGACTAAGAACGAAGCGTCACTGAAACAACTGTAATTTGGAAGCTTGTAACGGTCGGAATGTCGGAATGAAACCTTGACGCATTTGTTTGAAAGTTGGTGCCTTCGAAAAATTATATGAGCCAAACCGGTGCCTTATTGAGTAGTGTGATGCAAATGTACTTTACGCTATTAACATAAGTTCCCTACGCCTTGTTATTCAACGAGTGATCTCTTCAGGTTCAATTTTACTTTACTACACTCGCACCTTTATTAATCGTCAATTCCCAGCAAGGCACGCAGACGTAGAAAACTACTTTGGTTTACACTCATTCACCTTTCAATACAACAAATCGATTCCATTTATTAAATAAAATTCACATAAACATAACGGCTGCGTCTTTAGTTTATTTAACTTGGCAGTATTGTCTCCTACATCCACCAGCTATATGTTGTAAGTTGACTACTAGCGGTTTAAAATATCAATTTGATTTCTGGTCATCCTTACATATATGAACTGTTGATCCATTCAATAAAAGCACCAATCCTCTTTCCCGCATCTTCTTATTCGCTTACTTGTACATAGAAAATTTTCCTTTCAATTAAATTGGTTTACCCTTACATTTACATAAAACAAATGGAATTCACTCGTCTTCCCAGCGACTACACATCCACTTTCCTCACTTGTCTATTAGCAGTCGATTCCCAGTAGGCTAAACATCAGATACTTAAGACATTAATTTTATATATTATTTATTTACATGTGGAACGAAAATCTGTCTGTCCAGCACTTTCGTCGCAGCAATGCTTTTGCCTACATTTTACTACCTATCTCTTGAGTTGAACTTCGCTAAGCTATTAATTCGTCTTCTGGTCATCTTCCAATAAAGTACAGTACTGCCGCTGTAATCTGCAAAATTATTTTTGCTATTGTTACTGGTGCCAGGGTTCGCGGTTGCTTTTCATTTATTGCAGAAACTTTACTGAAAGGTCGAACTTGCACCAAAGAGATGGTTAAAAGTTTGTTAGATAACAATCTCAGTTGAAACTTTTGACGATCTTCGAAGTGCCAAAAAGGTGCGTATACTCTTCATGCGCTTCTATATTGATGTAACAAGCCCTGGCGAGCTTAAGGTGAAATTTAAACTTAATGGCCTGAATCAACCGTGCACGAACATGTTGACAATTAAAAATGCTATGATACTATTAAATACCATACACCACCCTACACCTATTTATATAACAACTTTTCAAAATAAAACGTTATATGGCAAAAAAAATAAAATAAGAAGAACGGGCGGACAGAAGCTTCAATCAACTCAGAAAGTGATTGTGAATCGATTGATGGATATTTCTCAAGTCCTTCTGGGTGCTGTATACAATCGCTCAACCTTAACGTAGCCCTGTACGACAACTGGAGTAAAATCCAAATAGTTTATATTTCGAGAAAGCCGATGATTGATTGATTGATTATTGTTGAATATCAGCGCAAAGCAAAGTATGTAAAAATATTGAAGAAATGTAAGCGTTTACGTGTTTTTGTTTAAAATCTTCTAAATTTTGATTCGATTTAAAGATTCTTTGATGTGGCAAACGAGGCCTTGTGATATTTGGTATTTAATCGAGCCCATGGAAGCTTAACTTGAGCGTCATAAATTCATAATGAATTATGTCTTCAACCGTTAAAGAGTCGTTAAGGCCGTATTGAAGCCACTTGCATGCATAGTATATAGAGCAATAAATAAACTCACACCACATGTATGCGACGAGAGTAACAAAACAATGCAAAATGAATTTTGGCTACTTTACGAATGTTACGAGTATAAAAGGAAGGAAGACAAAACCTCGACGCGGAGATATATATGACACTTTTATGGTCAGCCACCTCTATACGTACCATAGATAATAAATACAAAGATCGCTTACGAAGCGAAAACTCTTGCTATTGCGAAGCATTAATGTTATAAGCTTGTATTTGTGTATAGGCAGACACACAAACACTTAAACATAGTTTCACTTAGTTTGACCAAAAATGAAATAACTTTTTATGATTATATGAGGTTTAACAGGCTTTTATTATTGCTGGCAATTGCTGGTTAGTTTCATTATCAAACTCATCATTGGCTTCGCTCGGTATTCACATAACATAATAGCATATCTTCACTATATATATACATATATAGATATGTTATATGATAGCAATGTGTGTTGTTTAGTTAGTTTTACTTACTTACTGTTTGTAAATTTATCACTGGATTCAATTCTCTTATGCCATTCTCGCTCCGGTACGTTCGTTCGTTCTTTGTACGTAAAAGTAAGTAAAAGTAATTCTATAATAACACTGAACAACAACTTTAATTAGATTTCTTTCATTTATTCTATGGTTATGTTTCATAACCATAAGTAAGTGTTTAAGGATACTTTATATGCTGACCATGTTGAGCTGAATGTTCACGGCCATGATAAAGTGAAATTTATGTTCTCTCGTACTTAAGACTAATATACAGTGAAACCGCCAGCAAACAGAAAAAATTCTTTCCCAAAACAAAACGAAAGCAATTTCTGGTTGTCTTATGAGAAATCATTTAGAATAAATCGTTTACTGGGACATTTCACGGTATACATAAACGCAGTTATTTTTTCTTTCCTTCTTCTGGTGGTTGACAAGAAGAAAAATTCAATAATTTTCAGCATTTAATTTCATTAGCTAACTACTGTGATGTACGAAGATAGGTTTATTGTCCGCAAATGCATACTTCTGGCGTTTAAAGGCCTCCCTATTAAAATATTACTAATGACTTCATGCTCAATGCAAAATGAATATATTAATTAAGAAGTTATGGGAAAACCAAACATAATGACGAACGGTAATAATAAGAAACGATGTTGTTGGACGTAGTTGTATTGATTTTTCCTTTTTGTTTGCAATAAATTTCCAATTTTATCAGCAGCCTTTACGCCAGTGGTTTCCAAACTTTATGATATTACTACAAGCTCCGAAAAATCAAAAAAATATATTTGAGCTTTTAGATTATTTTTCTTAACATTATGTAATAACAGCAAAATGGACAAAATTTTCTTTCAGTTAGGTAGACTTCCACATGGAATATAAGCGGAAAACATATGACTGCAAACCAATTTGAAACATTTGTTGGAAGAAAAACTGTGTAGTCTTCCACTTTCTCACTATTCAGTCACTCTTAACCACCCTACACTCTACACTACTCCATATAGGTTCAAATAACTGCTTTCAAAAAAATGGTCTAATACGAACCATTTTCAATAGGGTTCGTCCTTGGGCCAAAACATGTCTGTGTACTAAATTTTATCAAGTGACAGACGAATAGAGCAGCTTAATATCTGAATCGATCGGTGTAATAAAAGGATTGATGCTATGGATGGGGGTGGTGTTTAGTTTTAGCAGAAGAAGTGGACCTATTGTATAATTTAAAATAATATAAACAATTGCAATTGAAATATTTTTATACCCATCAGCGGTAGGTGAGAGATACATTCATTCAGTGTCTCCTTCTTGATCACCATCAAATTCTAAACCGATTTAAGCATGTCCGTCCGTCTGTCTGTTGCAGTAATTTCTGTTGTAAACATTCTCCCGGTCGCAAAAAGTAAGCTGTCTGCTTCAGGTACATGATCTAAATTTTCACTTTTACTTTATGGAAAAAATCACCCACGCCCATCCAACATTATAAGGTAAGAAACTTCAGTTTTTTGCTTCTTTTAAATCTTTTGTTAGAAAAATAAAAAATTCGCTCGCGGCCGAATACAATAATCCTAC